CTCAGCAGTGTTCATTTAATCCGATCCCATTTGATCCGCCTTTTAGTGAGCTAGATAATAATTTTTGTTAGTGGATAATCAACACACAGCTATCAGTTGATGCAGTTTGCTTTTGCTGCGTTGTGTAAACAGTGTGTTTATTTCGCAATACTTTTTTTTTGGAAAGTTTGTTTTCAAAAAGTATAGCTGGAAATATTGTTACGAAAATATTATGTTTTAATAGAAAGACTTGGGAAATATGCCATTCACAATTCATATCTTTGACTCATTATTCGTGATATGATTTGCACCTGTAATCTGAAGTTTGAATCACTAATTTGATCTGTAGGGCAAACTTATATAGAAAAATGCGATTTTTCCGTCATTATTGATATTGATCAACTGTCGCAAATACAGTCTTGCTTTAGTTGAGATTTCATCTTTCGCTATCCAAATCTTACGTTGGAGATAACTTAGAGAATATCAGAGCTTAGTTTTGTGATTCTTCGAAACACAATTCGTTGAAATCAGGAGCACGAATGAGGCACTTTCTTATTTCCTAATGTTGCTACTTATTCTTTTGTTCATACGTACTTTCATTCGTATTGCACTTTACCAGATGAATCGTGAAGATCACGAACGAGAACGTGTACGATGGCAGCAAAGACTTGATGAAACCGAAAATCGTCTTGCTGAGGCCGAAATGACTAATTCAGAAATGAATCAACTCAAGGCTGAGTTAGTAAGTTTTATTGAGAATGATGTGAGGCTTCGGTCATAATATGAAAGTATTATTACGTGATATACAATGATTATATTCGCATTTGAAACCATACGGAAAACGCTTTAGTTCCAGTTGATTGATTCTGAGATAAATCAAGACCATCAATTCGTTAAAGCATCTTTTTTTGTTTCGTCAGCAATTATCTCTTCCTTTTTGTATTTCTTAGTTATTTTTTGAGAAATTCTCTCTCATGTTCTGAAATTATCATGGTGCAATTTGTGCTTGGAACTTAACAGAAGGCGTTTGTTATTTTTGTCAAGCACTTAGAATTATGTATCGTCATGTGAACATTTTCCTGAAGTTCTACTCAAACTGCCTTTCAATATTCAACAGTTCCAGTTGAATTGTCAATTTTTCATAATTTTAATCATCATCTACATGGAACATTCAACTATTATTTTTCAGAATAAGCGAATAGTTGAAATGGAACGTAACCAAAAACCGCTCATTGAACAAAATCGTCGATTGAGCGAACGCAATCGTTTATTGCAAAATGAAATTAAAAAGGGCGAACAAAGGCTGTGCCATTCACAGGATGATTTTCTCACACTGGTACAGTGCACTTTTTCAACAAAAGAGAACTTAAAATTCATACGTTTCAAAATTTATTGAGTCTGGCATAGTTGCAGACTGTTGTGATCGTGTTACGTTCGATTAGAAATGAACAAACATCTGAATCATATTAAATAATTTTGATTCAATTATCAGTATAATCAGTTATATTCAACAAAATTTGGGTTTAAATTATCGTTAATCCAAACAACTGATTCAGAAGGATGGGTATGAAAAGCTGGTTAAAGAAAATCAAACCTTGAAGGAGAAACGAGCTTTTCCTGAGAAGCTAGAAGAATTAGACAGGTACAGAAATCAAGTGCTCGAATATTCGAAATGCATAACTGCACTGAGGCAATCATCCTTGGTTAGCAATTAAAATTTGCTTTTGTTGAGTTGCGTAGATAATGTTTCGAGACGGTGCGTAACGATTCGTACAAATCTTTCTCAGCGATAGACTTTTGTTCACAGCTGAATAATTGTTGAATATGTATATTGGGGTGAAAAATCTTTTTGAATGTCAGAATTTTCAATTTCCTAACCCAGAAAAATATGCCTTTTGTCTAGCAATAACATATGCGAATTTCAAAAATAGCTAGGTCGACTTGTTTTTGCCTGAATCGCCATAGTTTTCGACATTTCCGACATCTCATGTCTCGAAATGATGCCCTTTGATGTAAAGACAATGTGTGTGAAAGTATGCTTCCAAAAAATAGTCTGAATGCTCGCTGCTTTTTGCTTGAGGCGCCTAAATGCGCAGAGTAGTATATGGCATGACTTTTAAACGTTTATTAGTAGTATATACTTTAAACATTCTCAAGTTATCGATGAGATGTAACTTTCTCATTCATGTGATATGTGACTCCTGACAGTTACGTCTTTCGGTAGGCACAATATAAAAAATGTCAAAATATTACATTTAAACATTTGGCATCTATGGATATCAGCACAAAAAAGTTTGACGAAACAAACCACTTAGGGATATAACTAGTATATCTTTTCCTATTCTATGCCTATAAAAATGACGTTTAGCTTGATCGCTGGTTACAGATGACAAGAATATGAACAGATTAATAATTGACAAAACACTAGTAGTAGAATTTTTGAGCTGATTTAAAAGGGAAATTACAGTTGTCGTGTTTAGAAAGGAAGCATTTCGACTTTTTCAAAAGTTTTTTTCAAAAATCAACGAGTCCCAAGAAGACGATAATTAATGAGTGATAAATAACGAAACTGTTTCCGCCTTTGTTCAAACGTTATGCTTTAGACAACAAAAATACTTTACCTGTTATGTTCTAATCAATAGTATTCACTGTATCTGCTATGCTCCAATGTACAGTGCTACGAAAGAAATCAGTACGGCCCAGAATGCTATCGTGACCGGTCAATCTGTCTAAAGACATTTTGCCTAGCGACAGTTTGCCTAAGGACACATTGCCTAACGGACAATTTGCCTTAGGAACAGTTTGCCTATAAGGCGAAATATCCATTAAAACCGTAAGTTAGGCAAACTGTCCATTAGGTAATGTGTCTCTAGGCAGATTGATCGGGTACCGAATGTTATTTGTGGAAGTTGCAAGAACAGATATATTTATTCAGTGAACAAAATCATATAGAACAGTTTGCTTGTTGTTCGAATGAGCGCAGAATATTAGCTTGCAACATAAAAATTCCCATTGAAACCATCTGTTCTCGGGTCTGATTTTAACATACGGATGCCGTTACTTTGAGGTGAGGATTCGCACTGATAGCGAAAGGAAGAACCTGTGGCTTTGTTTGTACTCACATGAATCGTGTGGAGCTACTTTGAGGAGAAAGCAGTTTGGAATATATCACCCTTGTTAAAAAGAATTCCTTTCCCTGAAGCAGAGAATGCTGTTACTGGGATACCATCTTCTGAAGCAGAGGGATGGATGCCTTTCATCTGGTTGATTAATCACGGTTTCTTCTCTATTTTCGTGAGAAGTATGGGTTACTGAAATTGTATGGTTCGTTTTCACCGTATTAAAGGAGCATCCTTCTCGGTCATTGAAAAATTGATTGGACTGC